TGATTTATATAAGTACATAATCATATATATATTATAATAATTAAGGCATATATTAGTATATTACATATGATATAATCACAATATACTAGATAAGGAATATATAACTTATAAATAATAGTATTTATAATTATATACATTTATAACTATATACATATATAGGTTTATTATATTATATATAATATACATATAATATCATATATATATACATATATATATACATATTATATATTATATTATTTACATACAGTATATAGTATATATATATATATATATTATATATTATATTATAATTATATACTATATATATATATAAATACATATATATAGTATATACATTATATTAATAGTATACATATATATAGATATATATATACTATATACATATAATATATATATAGTATATATATATATATATATAATATACATATATATATATTATAGTATATAATATATATATATATATATATATATATATATGTATATGTATAATGTAGTACATATATATATATATATATATATATATATATATATACATATATATATATATATATATATATACATATATATATATATATATATATATATATATATATATACTAATATATATATACATATATATATATATATATATATATATATATATATATATATATATATATATATGGATATATATATATATATATATATATATATATATAATATATGTGTGTGTGTATGTATATATGCATATTTGTATATGTTTCTATATATAATATATACATATTATATATATATATATATATACATATATATATATACATATATATATATATATAGTATATATATATATATATATATATATATATATATATATATATATGTGTGTGTGTGTGTATGTATATATGCATATTTGTATATGTTTCTATATACATATATATATATACATACACACACACATATTATTATATATATATATATATATATATATAATATATATATATATATATATATATATATATATATATTATATATATACACATATATATATGAATATGTAAGTACACTATCTATCTATATATGTATACTGTCTGTATGTGTATTGATTGATCAGACCCATTATGAGGAGCTATGGCTCACCATAGTGTAGCTGACAAAACTTTATTCCAAATCTCTATATTTTGAGCAAACGTGCCCTTATTCCATTATTGAAAAGGTAAATCTCAGTTTCATATAATACTAAGCACAAAACAATATAGCATATCAGAACTGGAAAGAGAAAGTAATTTTTGAATTCAAAGGATTAGGATATTTCATTTTATGAAAAAATGGTAAGAGAAAATCCATAACCTACTGAAACCAAGTGGAACATGCCTAAAATAGATTGTCATAGATAAAATATTAGGAAAGAAAACTTTTCTTTGATACATTTTTTTTTTTTAATGAAGTAGTAAAATAATTACATATTTTTCAAGTTAGTCAATTAATAATTATCATATAAATCAGGTAAGATGTTTTCATAAAACATTAAAATGAAATAAATATACCGCTGTCTCTGAAAAAGTTATCCAACATTAAAACAAAATAGTGAAACTACGATTTCCGTTTATTGTAATAAAATATGCTGAGTGAGAACTACTCAACAGTTACTATCTTTTTCAAATCTCATAAACATAAAAATGGATTCTTTGCAGTCTTGCAAGCTAAAAGTCTCCTCAAAATATCAGCTTGAGAGGAATGTTTGGCCAATACTGAGGCTGATATAGTGTTGATATACGGTCAAAAGACAACTGGACTGCAGTCTCCATTGCATGTATCCTTGCTGCTGCTTCCCCATACAACTGGTGCATCTCTCTGCTCCGGATGACATCCGGATGCTCCTGAAAGCAGAGCAGAATATGCACATCAGCAAAGAGTATCATACTACTCAACTCTACTACTCATTAGGAATTTTAGGCATATATATTACCAGAAGAAGAATTAGAAGATGAAAATAAAAATAAAGATGAAGGAGAAGAAGAAAAAAATATACATACATTTAATTAAAATATGATTCAGGAGGATCATAGAAAAGAGGAAAGGCAAGGGCATGAGAAAAATGTGTCACTAGTATCATTCTGGTAATATGGGCAATCATTTTAAATATTTTCAGCATATATTACCAATTTCTTTCTGCAACACAAATCTTTTTTGTAGATGACTCTCCTACCTAATAATATCCGACCTTCCAATTATTTATGGAACCAGTAAGAACTTTGTGTAAGTTCAAGAATACAATTTACTATTACAATAGCACAAAGAAAGGAAAAGAATATAAAAAACTGTGTCTGTGTTTATGCAACTCTTGTAAACTGGATAAGGATTTCTTTAATTAAACCTTCAAAGTTAGAAATACCCCATTTAATCAATTATCAAGAAACCAACAAGATGCTTCTTAGTGAATGAAAATTTAGAGTTGATTTCTTGATGAGTCTTGAGAAAAGTTAGGAAGATGAAGGTGAATCATTTTAGAGGAAATCCAATAAGCTTTGCCAATATGCTGATACTTCAGATAAAAGACGCTCTCCTTTTAAAACTATGGTCGCATAACTTTTCTTTAAAAAAAATAAATAAATAAAAAAAATAAATAAATAAAATAAAATAAATAAATAAATAAATAAATAAATAAATAAATAAAATAAAATATAAATAAATAAATAACATCCATCATAAAACTGGTCAAAAGAATCCTGATGGTGTCTCACCACTGCTATTGGCTACATGAAAAAGAAAGTATGCTTCAAAAACTAGCAAGTAGCCAATACAAAGGTAACTAATTGCTTATGGGCAGATGTAATATGGTCCGAGTTCAATGACTTGCACCTTACCTTTTCTCTGTCTACCACTATCTATGGCATATCTTAATGTCCGACAAAGAGAAGCTAAAGATCTAACATACTCTTTCTATCATGCTGACTAACATATTCAGTTGTTCGGTCAGAATGTAAATATAACAGCAGCTGTTCAAGGAAGATATCTAATATGATTCTATTTTGATCTACTTTGAATTTCCTTGTTCCATTTAATAACAAGAGCTGGAGCTGGTAAGGAGTAAAGGAAAAAGAATGTTATTTGCAAGCAAATATGTCTTAGTAGCTTTTTCTAAGACTGGCAGCCTCTATATATCATAATCAAAACAAAACCTTTTCATAACACAGTGTTTGTTTGCTTTATCAGAAGCCAGTACTATTCCAAACCAAATCAAGCAATGCTAAACAGGCAGATCACTATTAGTTACTAATTATTTTTATGAATACATGTTATAATGGGTTATTTCACTGTAATCATTACCAAATCAGACATACAATGGCTGTGTATTAAATCCAAACATGGCTGGGGAAGCATTTAGTAATAAGGAAAAAAACAATTAGGGACTGATATAAACAAGAACTTTTCATACAACTCTTTCCATTTAAGGAGATAACATCATCATCATCATCAAAGGGGGCTGATGCCGATGGGGGTACATAGCTGCATCCACCCTTCCCTTACAGCCACAGGCGTCCCTCATGATGAGTCGCGAGGCAGGCCCTTGGACCATCTCTAGTTCTTCACAACAGGTCTGGTAAAGCTACCCAAGCCACAATTTCTTAGGTCTTGCTATAGGCTTCCTCCACACAGGATTGTCTCAGTAAACTATTATGCAAGTAATAGTTACCATGCCAGTCTCACAGCATAGTCGTAGGTTGGAAACATTGTCCTGCCAAATGTACCCCATGATCCAGTGTAGGGACTTGTTACAAAAGGCATTGAGACATGACTCCAAGGCACTAGATAACATCCAGGTTTTGCTTCCAAAACTGCCAGTATCAAGGCCTTCAAAACACGTAAGTTAGTCCTTCTGCATAGGTACCAGCACCTCCACAAATACTCTTGTTGACTAAGTTCATGGTTCCTGCTGCCAAACCAATCTGTCTACTGACTTCCTGGTCTGACAGCCCAGAGACATTTATTGCACTACCAAAGAATGTAAAGCTCTCAACACCATCAACACATTTCCCCTGAACAGGATCTCCTTGCATGCCCCCAAAATCCTGGATTGTTTTGGTCCAGGACACCTGTGAGCCCAGGGCTTCGCCTCATTGCTGAATGCATCAAGAGCCGCCACCAGAGATTCCAGAGACTCAGATAGAATCACAACATCATCAGCAAAGTCAAGGTCCATGACCTTGATATTGCCCAGTGTTGCTTCACACTGACTTTGGATAGTAGCTCTGCCCATTATCCAGTTCATGTAAGTGTTGAAAAGTGTTGGGCAAGGACACAGCCTTGCCTCACTCCTGACTCAACTGGGAAGCTCTACAGGCCCCCACTACACCTTACAGCACTTTCAGTACCAGTATATACGCTTGCTATTAAACCAATAATCCAAGTCAGAATTCCCCTAAGTCTCAGGATCTCCCATAACAATTCATGATGCACCGAATCAAACGCCTTCTTGAGGTCAATGAAGGCTGCAAGCAGCCAACAACTGAACGCACAACATTCTACAATGACTTGAAGCACTAGGGTGGACTTGTCACTATTGTGGACTTGCCAGGAGTGAATCCAGATTGCTCCAGTCTTTGGTACCTTAGTAGGTGTTTGTGGATCCATTTCAGAAGAATGTGGGCAAAAACCTTGCCAGGTATACTGAGCAATGTGATGCCATGGAAGTTGCTAAAGTCCCAACAATCCTCCTTTCCCTTCCAGAGAAGGATAATCATGCCCCTCAACACGTCAGGGGGAATGCAACAGAACTGCCAGATGGCAGCCAGGACAGTATGCAAGCCCTGTGCCATAGGCTCACCCCCAGCCTTTAGCAGTTCAGCAGGGATATTGTATATGCCTGCAGCTTTCCCATCCTTCAGATAAGATAACAAACCATCTTCATGTCTCTATTTTATTTATTTATTTCTTCTTCTTCTTCTTCTTCTTCTTCTTCTTCTTCTTCTTCTTCTTCTTCTTCTTCTTCTTCTTCTTCTTCTTCTTCTTCTTCTTCTTTGCTTATGAAAGTCTTTCTTCCCTTCCTCATGCCATTCCTCCTTTTCCTTACCCTTTGCTGTCTTGGCAGCTAATATTCCTTTGTGTATGGGTGTCATGTGTATCTTCTGTATGATGACTTTTTTTTCATGATGCATGGAGTAGGACATAAATGATTGTGGGAAAATGGCATATATAGAACAATGGTGGCACCATGTACTCCATGTCTAACCAGATGATTGTTATCATACATGTTTAGGCTGTGTGACAGCAAGAGCACTTGGGGGATGTGAGAGAAGTCCTCAATAACTAATATGACATATGAAGAAAAGCTTGTTGTTTTTTACTCCTTCAGTCAATTATTCTTTTGCATAGCACTTTCCCACAAGCCATCCACGCATCCCTATCAATGTCTTATGGAAAAAAAAGAAAAAAGAAATAGAAGACATGAACTACTACAAAGCTCAAAGATGTTGGTAACTGGTAACATGGCAAGAGAAGGGGGAGGACAGAAGAGGCAAAAAAAGGGAGACACTGGTACATTAAGACTAAATAAATGGATTCTGGATACTCAAAGCAACATGTTTCCTCATCACATAAAAAGATATGTAAATAACATTTCTTTATTATGATCCAGTTTTTTTATTTTCAAAATCCCTTATTTTTTTTTAATATGTGGCTGTACACTTCTCCCCCAGATGTTGATTTAAAATATCAAGCAGTTCTCCTTGGAATGTCATAAAAATATGCCAAGAAAATACTACTAAAGACAAACTCAATAAGAAAATAAAACCTAAGGCATAAATACTTGCAGTAATCACTATACCATACCCATGACTCAAGAAATGGGGACCTAAATGAGCCACTATTACTCTTTATAAAATTTCTTCAGGGAATTTCCTTCAAAAACTGATCACTAGCTTTTGAAAGACAGAAATTCAAGCTTGAATAACGGGCACAAACAATTACACTTTTTGGAACTGAAACCCAAGACAGAAATAAATATCTCCACCATACATCTCTTCTCCTCTGTATTTACTAAGTACATGTCTATACTGAATATTAAACAATACAGTACAGAAACATGTACACTGTATGAGACAAAGCAATTGTAATTAGTGTGATTTATAAACATCTTATCTCCCTATAAGATTTCATAACTGAAGTTAATACCATAAACATCTTATCTCCCTATAAGATTTCATAACTGAAGTTAATACCATAATACAAATAACTATTTATCCCCTTTCCTATAGTCTTGTTTCTATTCCATTCCAAAAATTACTTAATGATTAGATAAAATTATAGTAGCACCTCATAAAATAAGCAAAACATTTCCTACCTTAAAACTCCAATAGGAAAAATAGGATGGTGAACAGAAAGTCACTGATATGAGAGAGGACAGAGAGGAGAGGAGATAGATGGCGAAATACAGAAGGAAAAGAGAAAAAAGGAGTAGACAGAAAAGAGGAGAGAGAGGAGAGAGTGAGAGTGCACATAGTCCACTTGAATACAAGTATTTCAACTCATATCATTGTAATTTGAATCTATATAATATAGATAGACATTTCTTTGTGACTTAAGCCATGATGTAGTTTTCAGGAAATATTCTTTATATTTACCAAACTTTAAGCCTTGTGTGTGTGTTTGCTAATTCATTTTTATTGAGAGAGAGGCAAACTATACGATTTCCTTAAATTGTGGGTTGTCAAAAAAATTGAAAGGCTGGCTGGGAGATAAAAAAAACTTTCAACAAAATTCCAATACAGGATGTAAGGAAGCCAGGATACTATATATGGTTGCTTTAGTACCATAAAACAATTAAAACAAAGCATATTTGAAACAATCCCACATTCCACAGGATATTATTGACTTACTTGTTTACCCAGTATTCTTAAAGATTCCTGTAAGAAAAAAGGAGTTATTCACCTGAGTAAATTCCCCTATTCCTAAATGTTATTTCCAATACTATCTACATCTGGTGAATAAATACATCGTCATGTATCACTTTCCTTACACATGGAAAACCCATAAAAAAAATTATATAGAAAGGGCTACCTTTGGTTTGGAATCTTTTTCACTCTCCTCCGACTGCTTCTCCTCATCCAAAGCCTTTTTCACTTTACGGATTTTCCACTCAACACGGTGCTGCTCACTCTGCTGAAGGAATTCTAAGAAGTCTTCACTAACTTCCATGTTTTCCTCCTCATCCTGCAAATGCATTCCTTGGCTCATCTGCGACTGCAGAGCTTCACTGTCACTCACTATTCCTTGACTGTCCTGAACGGCTTGAGTTCTGTGCTGCCTGTTCCTTTTCTTCCTTTTTCTCTTCTTGCGGTTTCGGCTTGACCTTGAAATGTCGGTCAGACTTTTACTAGATGAAGATTTTCTTGAAAGTCTTGAAAATTCATTGTTCTTTGGGAAATTTTCATACGATTGTTCTTTCAGCTGAAATGAAATAAGAGTAACGAATGAATAAATAAATTAACAGATTACATTCTAAAATTTGGTGCTGTCACCTCTGGAACCAAAATCTCAAATAATTGGTTAACCAAATACTGGAGTTTGATACTAAGCACTGTAAAACATCATATGCACCATACGACTTTTAATCATCAAAATCATTCAAAACAGCACCACAGTATAGCAGAGATCTACCAACCATTCCACAGAGGGATGCATTTGTATGTGATGCAATATGTCTAGCTCTTACTACTGCATCTTTGTGTGCTGTCATCATCATGGTGTTGTAATGATGCCAAAACCTTGCATAACGTACGTCATAATACCAAGGATCTTCACCTGTCTTCTCAACTTGACTATCACTGTACATCTGAAATATAATCTATGTTTAGATTACCATCAATAAAAAATCACCACCTTTTTAAGCCAGTAATCAATACCTAAAAGAATAAAATCAGCACTGATGTATCTGTTTAACTTATGGCTCATCTGTTGCAACTTTACCAGAAACTGGCAATAAGACTAACATTGAGATATAATTAAGTCAAAGCTATTACTTTCCATTTAGTGTTTACAAGCATAAATGCACAAAGAAAGAAAGAAATAAAAAAAGAAAAATAAAAAAAATCAAATCTAAATTCATCTCATTTATCTATGCACTTTTTTTCTTTCTTTCTTTTTTTTTTCATATTTTCATCTATCCTTTTTTTTCATCATAATCTCTTGGGAGGGTAATGAGAAATGAGCCTAATGGTGCACTAACATATATCTTTTATAACAAACAATAAAGTGTATGCACTCTTGGGATGGAGACATTATGTCGTAGATTTTGATGTGCAGAGACAATATTCTGAAGAGCCTGTACATGTAATATACAATCTGTTATCTAACTGTAAATATATAATTTAAATGTTTAAAAGAAGAGCATCATTAAAATAAATATAATATTTAACATATCCATTTTTAATAAAAAATGTGAGCTCAAATATATAGCTTTCAAAATTCATGCCTATAAAAGACTTGTTTTTGTGTTTGCACCAAAATTATATGAAACAAACAATATTCTTCAGCACTAGTATCTTGTAGCATACAGCCTGAAATTCAGTTATATTAACTGAGATCTGCCTTAGTTTGGTGGCATTAATATCTGGAATCAGAATCTGCTCAATAAACAGTTTATCATAAACCAATATACTAATACCTTGTACATAAATCAAAGATTTCAGGCTTAGATGGTGACACAAAAGTTATACTCATAAAATATAGCTTCTCTGTTGGCTTCAAATTTACAGGTCAATTAACCCCTTGGATCCGGTTGATGTGACCATGGAAAAATTTGGCTAAAGGGCCAGGTGAAGTGAACATGATGTCATGTAAAAATTTGGCTTAGGTGAAGGAAACATGCTGAAGGCTGCAGTGACGGGGAATGACTCGCCATGAGTGCACAAAGCTCTTGTAGGCTGACCAGACTCAGTGGGCATTTAGGAAGGGGCTCTTGCATTATTCTTATCAATGAGTGTGGAATGCACCATCTGTAAGCCATGACCAGAAGAGTGCCAGCTCCAGGAAGGACATTATTGCCATGCTCAAAATCACGTTCCTGTTCACCATGACCAACAAAACACGCTGTATAGCAGAAAAATAATATTAAGAAAAAATAAAAAGATGACATAAATAACATAATGTTAGTTATTATCATTATTATTGCACTAAGTTATGGACTACCTAGAAAGAGGATATGGAAAACGTTTTATCACCATCAGGATACAACTTATCAAATGATAAATACAACCATGCAGAAAAAGAAAAAATGACGCTGTAAAGAGGAAGCAAGGAGTCTTGACTTTGTACAAGAGTGTTTGTGTGCACCCGGCCAACAAGCCACACACACACCTAATACCCTGATTTTGGGCCACGTGTAGGCAATGAGGCACATGGATTCAATGGGTTAATTAAATTTTTTTTTTCTGTCTCTACTCATTTCATCATGCAAAAAATCGACTGGAAATAACTTGTTGATTCTTTTGCATAATATAGAGCATGGAATTGCACTTTGTCTCATATAATTTTGATCTTGCACCCCCATAAGAGGAGGGGATGCCCACAGAGTATTAAAAAAAAAAAAAAAAAAAAAAAAAAAAAAAAAAAAAAATCCCCCTCTTCTTCGGTACATCACCACTCCCACAGTTTTTTTTTTTTTTGGAAGAATCCACAAAAAATTCATGTGTTAGATCTATCCCAACCAGAGGCCGTGTAAATGACCGATTTTTGAATTTCCTTTTTTTGGGGGGCGGAGACTGGTTGACATATACTATTTTTAGTCTGTTTTTTTTGTTTTTTTTTTAGCATTAAGAAAGTCTAACAGAAATATTTCAATTCTTACTTATATGCCTATTTTCAAACATTAGTGCTTTGTACTCCATATACATACAGATCTTTGTAAGCTACAACATATTACATGGGAGTCTCCATGGAAGCATATTTCATTTGTAAAAGGACACAAAACACATTTTTTTACATATGTTTCCCAAAATATTTTGTCATAAATCACTGATATAATCTTTTTGATATTGGTATAAAAGTGTTCTTTGAACACTCACGAACTCATATCTATGCACAATGTCATAATCAAATGCCATTTGCATGATTGCAACAAGCAAATGTCCACATAGGTGCACCTGGGCACTCATTAGTGGTGGTAGTATTTAACAGGTCTGCCCGCGAACTACCCTCAGCTGGGCTTTAATACTTGTTTGGTAGTTTCCTCATCCATGTACCTATACTATATGCTAGATAACTCAATTTGATTCCCTTCTGGGACGGTCCCCTTAATAGGGTTTTACTGGTACCAATATGAAAATTTTAAATATTAGTTACCAAGAGAGACACAAATAGATTGAGGGAAATGGATACTACCACCTTAAAGAGCAAAAGGAATACAGTCATAAACGACACTGCTACAGTTGCAGTGGCCTCATATTTACCGCGAAATTATGAAAATATTTGCTGCATATCACGGCTCAGATCCTAAATCCACAACACCCTTACACCGTCTGGTGTTTTTTTTCCCAAAATCAGCTGATTTGCCAATTTCGTACAATGGATTCCCAAGGAGTTTCAGGGCCTCTAAATCTCCCCTAAAATTTTTGAGGGCACCCTCCTTTCTTAGGTGGTAGCAGCCACTTTCAAAATTATGATTTTCACCTTACCTTAGCAGTTATGATGTAACAATAAGATATAATAAAAAAAAAAAAAATTATATCAAGAAAGCTTATAATATATTTCATAAAATGACTACCCTTAACTTTTTTTTGGAATAATCTGTAAAATTTGGGAAGCATTAAACTTAAAAACAAAGAATTTTTGTACACAAATCTATAAGAATAAAATACTGCTCATATAGAGTATTTAATTTTCTTTCTGTTTGGATCATATTTCGTCAGTTTCATCCTTGAACAAAATGTTTTGAACATACTCCCCTACCCCAAAATGGGAGTAAATTTGCCTAATTATCCAGATTACCACCAAAATTTAGTAGAATATAAGCTAGGCTAAGACACACCTCTCGTAAAAAATTCATGAAAATCTGTGGTAATTTTCTATATTACCTTCGCCTCTCCGATATCGACGATTTTGGTATCGTTGGTTTCCTCTCACTCTGTACAATCTGAATATGTAGGTTTTATTGCGCGGAAACCCTCCGTTAGCGGCAAACTTGGCCCCGATAGCAGGGGCGATGATGTCGGAGCGGCGGACGTGATATAGAAAATTACCCTAATAATATAACCCACAGTGAAAATAACCATGGTTATTCACATGACTTTCCACTGCGACCCCCCCTGAGTGGCGGCTGCCGCCCCCAACCCCCACTGAGGACACAAAATATCCCCCACGTATTCACGGCAGGATAGAGCGCACACGAACAAGATGCATCGAAAAAAGCGCAAAACCCACTGACCCCACGAGGGCGGGTCACCGCTGCTCTTCTGTTCGTGGTATACCTTGTTCATCCTGGTTATACTACAATCGTATCTGTATACAATGTTGACTATGTCAAGGTTAGTATGCTGATTGAATGGGAATGTTATGAGGTAAATGTAATACGTCCGCCGCTCCGAGATCGCCGATAACTGTGTAACGCTCTAGCCTGACGGGTATACGTGGTGGAGGTTTTGTTTCCACGGCGGGGGTTGGGGGGCAACAGCCCCCCCAGGGGGAGTAGCAGGGGGCACAGCCCCCTGCAATGGAAAGTCATGTGAATAACCATGGTTATTTTCACTGTGGGTTATGTTACTAGTGTTATTTAACCCAGCTTTTTCCCTGGAACCTTTCATGCCCTCCCCTGTTATCAGGGCCAAGTTTGTCCGCGCAATAAAAGCTATATATTTGCAGAGTGGACAGTGAGAGGAATCCAACGATACCAAAATCGTCGATATCTGAGAGGCGAAGGTAATATAGAAAATTACCAAATCTGTCCATACCTTTTTGAGTGAAAAAAACAAAAAATTACGTAATATCATGTTCCATTTCATATACGCCATTCCATTTCGCGAAAAGGAGTTCCATTACGTGTTTTCCCTACAGCGCATGGCCCCTTCTATCATTTTCCAGTCTGCAAGTGTGATATCTGTTGTAAAACCCCAATAGCACAATAATAAAGGAAAATAATGGATGATTATATCATATAAAACTATTTCATATACCATTTATCCAAATGTAAAAATGATGAGGCTCAAAATTCCAATATTTGTATATATTACATGTCTACATAAAATATTCACAAAAAAACTAGGTAATAATAGAAAAATGTGCTTCGATCTTGCACTAGATAAAAGGTCGTAGTACACCATTTCCATGGTATGCACTACCATGATGCTTAGTTCGGCTGTCATGCTCTATTTCTGTTATGGAAAGGGTGATAATTTAATAGTGATGTAATAATTAAAGTGTGAATGATATAGTAAGACCCACCTTAAAAATATATTAATTCTAAATGGTGAGTAAATGTGCGAATGTTTGCATCTCCTCAAATGTAAACAATCAGGGTAACGACATTAAATTTATTTCTGTGGAATAGCTTTGAAATGATATATGAATAAGAAAAATGATTTATAATAACAGGCGATTAATTAACATATCATATCAACAGGAGATCTAAAGTGAAGAAGGATAACTAAACTACAAAATCGAAGAGATCATCAAATATGTTACCAGATTTCCTTAGATTTAAGCACTAGTTTTTTCAGATGGCAATTTTTAGTGACACAACATTTTTGCAAAACAAATAAAGAAGAGTATATGCAGCCGTCAAAATGAGAACTTTGTTAGGCTCGCACTGCCTCGGCGCCAAAAGCAAATAGAAACGATCCGGAAAAAACAAGTACTGTTGTTTTTACTTTTTGTTTGGCTGTAATTATCTATTTCAAAACATTACGATGAATTACACAAATATGTTAAGATAGCTAGTATAAGGAAAACAAATGGAATATTTTGATGAAACAATCTTTTTATTAGTTAACCTTGTATATTTAAGCAATTCAAGCTTCAATCAGTGTTCATTCATGCCTATTTATCACGCTGAGATTCCTAAACTCTACCAGAAGCAAGACTCGTTGCATATTTAAAAGCTCTCTAAGCTAAACTTGAACAATTCAACAATGACATACAGGTAAATGGTAATTCATCAACGAAGGATCCTTTTTCTCTCTAAAAGCTAAACTTTTTCCATCCACGGGCAGCTCCATTATCAAAGTCTCGAGCTCTAAAGGCTTGATATGGCCCCCTCTGCCCTCAGACTCCGTTAATTTTCCCTGAATATCAGTGGCGTGTTGAGCATATTGGGTAATCAACGTACTTTGTGTTTGGTATGCCGAGTGAAAAGAAAAAAACTCCCGCTCACCGTTTTTGTTTTCAGTAAATGAACTGTGAGTGTATGTGTTTGGTGTGTGTGTGTGTGTGTGTTGTGTGTGTGTGTGTGTGTTGTGTGTGGTGAGAGAGAGAGAGAGAGAGAGAGAGAGAGAGAGAGAGAGAGAGAGAGAGGAGAGAGAGAGAGAGAGAGAGAGAGAGAGAGAGAGAGAGAGAGAGAGAGAGAGGAGAGGAGAGAGAAGAAAGAAGAGAAGAGAAAGAGAGAGAGGGGGGGGGGAAGAAGAGAGAGAGAGAAGGGGGGAAGAGAGAGAGGGGATAAGGAGATGGAGAGGAGAGAAAGATAGGGGGGGGAGATAAAAGAGAGACAGAGAGAGAGGGGGAGATAAAAGAGAGACAGAGAGAGTAGAGATAGTGAGGTGTTATTTTAAACTCATATTCTCTTTATAAAACCCGAATTGTTCTTTCTGTTTCGCACTCAGAATGGAGGCGGAAAAAGCTCTCCAAGCATCAGTGGTCCGTTATTTACATCAGTCTGGGGGCATGGACCGCCTGAGGGCCGCTCTGGTGGCCCGGGCCGCGCTCTCCCCCGTGCCGAAGATCCTCAAAGTGCCGGTCCTTGTGAATCTCATGGACGTGCGGGAGGCGGACGGTGAGCCGATGGGGTTCTGGTCCTCGTCTTTGCTTACAGTGCATTGAGGATTTGATGAGTGATTTTATATTCATTGCGATTGTCATTTTGTGCTAATTACTGTTGCCTCTCGTCAAAAAGCGATTTTGATGACGAATACTGAAAGCGTGATGTTGCAGAGTGTCTGGCGGAAATGGTGATGACAGAGCCTATGCAAGCCCAGCAGCTGTTCCACAACGTGCTGTACGTGGCAGCCTTGTCCACCTTGTCGGCCCTCCGCCCGTGCATCACCTCGGGGGACGACCACTGCCCGCCGGTAGCCGCGACCGCCCTGCCAACCCTCAACGACCAGGTGTCGCTCTATCCACAGGAGGAGAAGAGTAAAGCCGACAAAGATGAGGAAATTGAATCGGTGGATTTTGATCTGTCGCTCCAGTGTCTGTCGCCTGAAGGGTCTCCAGAGTCCTCTGTGGCTGACGAGACGGAGACCCTCACCGCGGCACAGGTAAAGGGCGCTTTTATTTCCTTTTTTGTGAAAAATCCGCTCCTTATTCCATGTCAATCAACACATATTTCCCGCCACAGATTTACGCCCCGCTGCGCGTGAGCGGGATTCCTTGGGTCAAGGAGTGGATGGTTAGTAGCGTGCGGGATCTGCCTCTGCATCTGAAGGAGCCAATCCTTGCTTTGCTGGCCGGAAGGATTTTGGCCGTATCCTTACCGCAGCCCTACACGTGAGTTACTGAGGGCAGTTTATTGCGCATGTGTGGGTTCAGGTAAATGTGTACACGTTTCTGTCTATCAGTAGCCACACATGCGCCACACAAATTCTCCCCCCCTCCTCTCTCTCTACGCACACACACATTATATCTGTTAGTGTGTATGGGTTGTAAGAAAATAAGATTCGGCACTGCTGCAACTCCCGCAGAGTCTGGGCGAGGTATGTCTGCAGCAACCCAGGCTGTGCGGGTACAGTGAAGGACCTCCACGTGAGAGTCTTCAGTGTCGGCCACGACGAGGCGGACACAGTGTATCATCATCGACTCTGCAGGTTAGTGACACATTTT